AGGTCTATGATGAGTGAGACTCAACTTCCAAAATCGTTTTGGGGACAAGCCTTAGACACGACGGCATACTTTCTAAATAGGGTACCGTCTAAATCTGTTCAGACCACACCATATGAGATATGGAATGGTAAGAGACCCAACCTGAGTTATCGCAGGGTATGGGGATCGCCAGCATATGTCAAAGCGTTGACATCAGAAAAACTTAGTGCTAAGAGTACTAAATGTTTATTTGTGGGGTATCCCAAAGGTACTAAGGGATACTACTTTTACTCCTTGGATGAACACAAGGTGTTTGTGTCCAAGAATGCTGAGTTCCTTGAGAATGATTTGATCTCTAAAGGAGCCAGTGGGAGTAAGATTGATCTTGAAAAAGTTCAAGAACCACATGAACAGATTGAGGAACTCGAGTCTGCTCTGCATGCGACGTTCTCCAATGGAGAAGTAAACACATAACTCCGTAGATCTAGTAGGGTCATCAATCCACCTGAGAGGTATGGGTTTGTGATTGAGAATCAACAATCCGTCGAGGATGATGAACCTAGTAACTATGAGGAGGCAGTCAAGGATGTTGACTCCTCTAAATGGCTTGAAGTCATGGAATCTGAAATAGATTCGATGCATCAAAACAAGGTATGGACCTTGGTTCCAAAACTGCAAGGAATAGTTCCTATCGGTAATAAATGGGTCTTTAAAAGAAAGACTGATGCAAATGGCAACGTTCAAACCTACAAAGCTAGGTTGGTTGCGAAAGGATATCGTCAAAGACAAGGAGTTGACTATGATGAGACTTTCTCACCAGTTGCCATGATCAAATCTATTAGGATCATGCTTGCCATAGCAGCATATCACGACTATGAAATTTGGCAAATGGATGTCAAGATCGATTTCCTGAATGGATTCTTGAAGGGGGAAGTGTACATGACACAACCTGAAGGTTTTGAAGCCAAAGGTCAACAACATATGGTATGCAAGCTTCAAAGGTCGATATATGGGCTAAAGCAAGCATCAAGGAGTTGGAATATTCGTTTTGATGAAGTCGTTAGGAGTAATGGTTTCATCAAGAACGAGGATGAACCTTGTGTTTACAAGAAGGTTAGTGGGAGTAATGTCGTCTTCCTGGTACTTTATGTAGATGACATATTGCTAATAGGAAATGACATCCTCACATTACAAACAACGAAAAACTGGCTTTCAGAAAGCTTCACCATGAAGGATTTAGGAGAAGCGTCCTTTATACTTGGTATAAAGATCTATAGAGATAGATCCAAGAGGCTGCTGGGTTTATCTCAATCCACGTATGTTGACAAGATGCTAAAGAGGTTTAGCATGGAAGGGTCGAAAAGGAATTTTCTTCCAGTCAGTCATGGGGTACATCTTTCCAAGGCTATGTGTCCTAAGTCACAGCCTGAGAAGGATCGCATGAGTGGAATTCCATACACTTCGGCTATACGATCCATCATGTATGCCATGATATGTACGAGACCAGATGTCTCATACGCTTTGAGCATTATAAGCAGATATCAGTCTAACCCTGGAGAGGGTCACTGGACAGCAGTCAAGACCATCCTTAAGTACTTGAGAAGAACTAAGGATGAGTTTCTGTTCTATGGTGGGGTGGATGAACTATCAGTGAAAGGATTCACTGATGCCAGCTTTCAGAGTGACAAAGATGACTGCAAGTCACAATCAGGATTCGTATTCCTTTTAAATGGTGGGGCAGTGTCTTAGAAGAGTTCCAAGCAGAAGACTACAACAGATTCAACGACAGAAGCTGAATACATAGCTGCTTCAGAAGAGGCTAAGGAGGTCGTGTGGATCAAGAAGTTCATATCTGAACTAAGGGTGGTTCCAAGCGTGGATGAGCCCATACAGTTGCTTTGCGACAACACATGAGCCATTGCGCAGTCAAAGGAACCTAGGTCTCATCAAAGATCTAAGCACATGCTCCGCAGATATCACCTGATTAGAGAAATCATTGATAGAATGGATGTAAAGATAGATTATGTTCCCACAGATGATAACCTAGCCGATTCTCTGACGAAGGCTGTTTCTCAGAGAAAACATGATAGTCATTATGAGGCTTTAAGTATATGACTTAGGTCAGATTGGCTCTAAGCCAAGTGGGAGCTTGTTAGTATATGGATGTCCTAGAGACAATCTTTTGATTAGACGAGGACATATGTGGACCTTTTTATATTGTCGCAAATAAATAATAAGCACTCTTTATCCTGTTTCATATTTTGTCTCAATATTATTGTTAATAGATTATATGAGTAACTGCATAAACCCCTTGGAATAAAATAGGTATCTCTTGAGTATCTGTGATGAGATCACGATCATGAGGATTTAAGGATACCAGATGTTTATTCCTAATTTTATGTTCCTAGTCTAGAGACACTGAGAATGGGGATCAGTAATCTCGGGTAAGACTAGCACGACTTATCTACTTGTATTCGGATACAAGGTAAAGACCTCATGAGCTACAAATATGGAGATGTCTTAGCTAAAGTCGTGGGTGGACCCATAAGGGTATAGCTCGCACTGAACAGACCCACAAAGAGACCCTATGAGGAAATCTTACAAAAGTATCATTAGAGCAGTCTCTTAGTATTTGGGTATGTCTTTCCTTAGACCATAAGTTGTCACCTAGACTGTGTTCTAGAAGGCATGTTTTGATTGTATACCTCGTCTTCCTGAAACATGGAGACTCATAGGTATACTTTTGGGCATGTCATGAAAAAGCACAGGCCTAGGGTGATAAGCTGAAGGAATTCGTCAAATCTCTATAAGGGATTAGGTTATCTGTAAATCGGAGAAATCGGGATGACATTTACAGGAGTCGGGAATCTATGCATAGTAAAAGAGATTATGAGATGATCTGCCTTTAGAGTCAGTAAATTGAAGATTCCCTATTTCGAATTAAAGCTTACCCTAAACCGCAAGGGTTGATACGTATCCTCACCCTAGGTTTAATGGGAAGGTAACCTTGATGAAAGAAAATACATGCGGTAACCAAATATATGTAATAGGATGATCATGTCATTAACCTAACTAGATCTGGGGCAACAAAGCATTGCTAGTGCTCTGTGTTGTCATTAAATGGGTTGTGAGCTTGTTGGGCCCAAACCTATTTATGTCAGTGGCTATGTTGGGCCTAATGGGTCACACACTAACACCTTATTGTCTTGATGATATAACATTAAAAGTATTGGGCCTAATAAAGGTTGTTAGCCCAAGAAGAAGTTTGGAAGCCCACCTAAGAGGAAAAGGGCGCATGGTAATTGTAATGGGATTGGATGGTTCAAGACATTTTTAATTAATTTAATTAGTTAAATTAATTATCAAATATTTAAATTTTGAATTTTAATTTTGAATTTAAATGTTTGAATTCGAATTTGAATTGGCTATGAAAAGTTGTTGCATAACAAAAGGATAAGATAAGATCTTGTTGGAACAAATACCTAGTATCAAGAGGAGATATCTGAGCATCATCCAAGGTTGTTTGGGTTGCTGATTTGGGTTGTTATGAGTGTCATTTAGTCAACCAAATAAGCTCCAAATCAGATTTGGTTGGTTGAGAGAATAAGTGAGTAAGTTGGTTCAAATTTGAATGCAACTACTCAATGTATTTGGACTGCATTGTGGACCAAAGGGGCGCACCATATGGCTGGCCATATGATGGTCATTAAGTCAGAATTTTGACAAGGTTTAGACCTAGTCTCATGAGGATTAAAAGATAGGTTGTTGGGAAAATTTGAATTGCAACAACTCCACCTTTTTCTCCCTTGGTGTGCGCCACTTTGATCAGATTTTTAAGTGAAAAATCTGACTTGAATGCTCAGACTCTTTCATCTCCTTTGGTCATCATTTTGTTAGGTTTTTCTTAAGAGAGTCTTGAAGAATATCCTAGCCACTTCTCATCAATTCCATGCGCCACTTTTGTGAAGTTTTAAGCTGAAAATTTCACTCATCTAAACACATTAACCTTGCCTCCTCCTTCATCTATTGAACGCCTAGCCAGCCTTCTTTGTGGTGTTTAATTGGTGGCTTTTCAAGAAGGGTTCTTGCATCTTGACGTAGGGTGGTGTGGATCAACATTAGAGGGTTTGAACCTTTTCAAACCTTACATTGATCACCTTGGAGTTTTAATCACGAACAAGGTATATCATTACGTCCTAAAGTACATATCTTGATTGGCATGTGTGTTTCCTCTTTTGAAAAAAATTACGTCCTAAAGTATATCATTACGTCCTAAAGTATTCTAGGGCTTTTCGTAAGAAGAAACATTGTTGTTGTTATCATTCGTTGCCTATGCGTGTGGAAGTAGAGGAAACCACCATGATGATTAGAAACATTTCTAGCAAATAAATGTATGTTGTTCTTTTTTTGAAAAATTTTGGGAGATAAAATGCTTTTGTGGTGGCACTATTGTTGCAAATTAAAAAATAATTTGGAATTTTTTTTGACCAAATCCCTTTTAATGAGATGTCATTGCGTAAATCTCGAAAAATTATGTGAAATAAAAAAAATCACTTTATTCTGACACCCAAGTTAAAAGTTATGGCATTCCAAAATTTTACGATAAAACTGTTGACTTTTAACTGCACGTGTCATCACTTGAAGAGTTGCACCCAATTTGGGCACGATCAGTCACCCTAATGGGACTTACGTGGACGTGACCAACCATGCCTATTTTGAGCGCGATTGGTTGCTATAAATCTATAAATTAGTTTTAAATTACTACGTTTTTGTAATATTTTATTTAAATAATAATATTTTAATTTTTTTTCCCCGATGAACTTTGGATATGAAATATAAGATATTTGGATTCGTCGCTGAATTTTTTTTTTTTGTTTTTCTTTTCTCGCTCTTTTTGTTTTTGCTTTTCTTTTTCCTGCCCCAGCTCACTTTTTCTCTTGCTGCTGCTGCTGTCTTCTTTTTGTGTTTTCACTGCTTCCTCCCCATGTTCTTGAGTTTCTGTCCCAACCGCACCGTGTTAGGGTTTTCATCCAACGATATAACAAAATCTCTCAATTCTTGAGTAGCTTCGTTTTGCCAACTTACAGATCGAAATATATTGACAGTAGTGTGTGGTTGCAGTAGAATTTGTGGAATATGACTCAAGACGTGGACATGAAAGATCACACAACGCCTTCGCACTCTGTTTCTTCAGCTCCTCCATCTACATTGCAGCGTAAGTCTCTTCCTCAAACCACTTCACTCGAACATCGCTCCATTTTCTTTGCTTATTTTTTCTTTCGCTCACAGATTTGAAGGAGATAGCATCAATTATTGAAACCGGTTCATGCTCAAAGGAAGTTCGTAGAATTGCTCGAGCGCTGCGTCTCACAATTGCGTTGAGGCAGAAACTGACAGCGCCGGTTCTCTCATCTTTTATCGATTACGTTCTAATTCGCGGTTCAGAGCCGCACACTATGTTATCTTCATACCTTCCCAATCCCAAGGTAATTATTTCTGTGTATCACTTTGATTGCTGTAATTCAGTGGCTCCAATTTTAGCTAGTGCCAAAAAAATTTACATATCAAAATATCAAATGACGAACAATAGTTTTAATTGAAACAATTAAAACATGACCAATGTTTAAGGAATTAAATTGTATTTTAGCCTAAAATTAATAGCTCAAACTTTTGATCAAACACCTTGTATGCGATCTGGCAAGTATTTCGAATCATGAAAATAAACAAATTAATCCGTGGAAAATTAACAGCATTTATAAGCAAACATCTCGCAAAACCGGGCTGAGTTTGGACAGGAACCTTCACAGCCTCAAAGGGGCAGAGTGCAGGTGTGCAACATCAGCAATAACCTCCGCAGATGCGGAACCAGCAAGGTAGATCAAGGTCTTGTACTTGCTTGCATACTCTGGAGTCTGGACCAGCAATATCAGAATAATACTTCTTAAAGAACTTATAGAACCCAAACTTGCAAGTTGCAAGCACCCTGTGCAATGTAACCGAGCAAGGTAGGCACCTAGCCGTGGAAAAAGCCCTTGAATCCCTGCTCCTTGAGCAAAACTCCAAACCCAGACACGAGATGCTCTTGTACTTAACAGGGTCAATCTAAAATTGATTATCAACTCAAGTATTAAACAAAAATCCTACTAACAACCAAGTAAATAATTCCGATTCCAAGAGCATAAAAACTAGACCTCAAAGGAAATCGAAGATCTAAAACGTGATGATGCGAAATGCTAATAAAAATAGCACAATCTGAGCATAGGAAGCTAGATCGAGAAAGAGAAAGAGAGACCTAAGTCTAGTGGTGGAGAGGAGATTTTTTAATTTTATTAAACATTTTAATTTTTTTTTGGAAATATAGGTGGGAATCGAACACACAACATAATACAATCTACCCAAAATCCTCACGCCAGACTAATCCTAATGGCTTAAACGTTTTAAATTTTAGACAGTGCCAAATTAAACCTAAAACCCTGGTCAAATTACAATTAATTATATAATTATATAATAAATAAAATTTATTGAAAGTCAGCTGGTGCCAAGGTACCAGTTGGCACCAATGTGGCTCTGCCACTGCTGTAATTATTACATTCATTGATAGTTATTATTGAATAAGTATTCAGATTTTTCTACTGAGATAAATGTTGGTTCTACCGCTTTATCCAATTTGTAGAAACCATTTCATCATTTAGTTGCTCTGATCTATTATTTATTGGACATATGTGGAGATGTCACGTAGTTTTGCTTCTATTAAAAAATTAAAGAATGGGAACTATATGAGTGTAAGCTTCTAATGTTTTAATGGATGCAAATGCAATGGTCTTCCAAGTCCATAACTTTGTCACTGGCTGTATAGGAGGATAATCAGGAGATGGAAGTGGACACTGCAACATATGCTATTCAATCCCCGGCGAAGCACTCATTGCCAGAGCTAGAAATATATTGTTACCTCCTCGTGCTTCTTTTTCTGATTGATCAGAAACTATACGCTGAGGTTGGGCCCTGTTATCAACTTTGTCAATTGATGAATGATTATATATGCTGAGGTTTCTTTAATTTTTCATTTTAGGCCAAAGCTTGTTCCTCTGCAAGCATTGTGCGGCTGAAAAGCCTGAACAGGAGAACTGTTGATGTTATTGCATCCAGACTGTACTTTTATTACTCATATAGCTATGAGCTTACAGGAGATCTTGCTGAAATTCGAGGGTGAGTTTGGTGCTTATCTATGCCGTTCAAGAATAAATTCAGAAGCAGATGCTTATGCATGTTTGATACAGAACGGTTAATGAGATTTACAAACTGAAAGTGATTTAACTTATTCAAAACCAAAATGGCTTTTTTTGTTTTCAGCAACCTCCTTGCACTGCATCGTATTGCTACACTTCGCCATGATGAGCTCGGTCAGGTTTGTTTCAACTTGCTTGGTGGTTCCTTTTCACAAGGGCTATGGATCTTGTACTTACCTGGTGATGTGATGCAGGAAACACTCCTGAATCTGTTACTTCGGAACTACCTCCACTACAACCTATATGATCAAGCAGAGAAGTTGAGGTCTAAGGCTCCACGTTTCGAAGCACATTCAAACCACCAGGTATAATGTCTCTGTTATTCTAGGTGTCAATGTGATTTGTCTCCTATGGTAAATGCAATCTCCACCTTCTATACCTGGTCTGACAGTCTGAGGAATGTTTTGAGACTATGCTCTTGTGTTGAACCTTCTCAATGATTCTGAAATTTATTTTTGTATTTTCTAATTAATTGTTGGTAAAATTTCCCATTTTATTCATTTTTCTTTGACATGTCTACATTTGTTGTATTTCTGTTTCAGTTCTGTCGTTATCTCTTCTACCTTGGGAAAATTCATACAATTCAGTTGGAGTATACAGATGCAAAAGAGTCTCTCCTGCAGGCTGCTCGTAAAGCTCCGGTTGCAGCACAGGGTTTTCGGATTCAATGTAACAAGTGGGCTGTTATAGTGCGTTTACTGTTGGGTGAAATTCCGGAGAGGACTATCTTTATGCAGAAAGGAATGGAGAAAGCTCTGAGGCCTTACTTTGAGCTTACAAATGTGAGTCCACACAACTAACCAAAGTTAGTCGCAATGATATCCATCTAACATATACTATTTCTCACATTATTAATTCATTATCATTCCCTACTCTTTCAATCACTACTAGCTAACTTGTAATTTTTATCGGAAAATGTGCATGAAAATTGTGTAAAACAATAAGTCTTGCATAAATAGTCCATATGTCTATCTTCATTTATTTTTTAATCTTATATTTTGCGTTCATTACTCTACAATTGATTTGTACAAGTTCCCCTTTTGCCTTCTCCCATGTTAATCCTTTAATTTTTTATTTTATTTTCTTTCATTAGTCAATCGACTCAAGTCGCTGCCTTTTCTCTTTAAGCATTCACAAGTACATAACTACATACACATAGATGCATCTATACTACTATATAAAGTAACATCTGTTTTTTGAGTTTTCCTGCAATATTTTCATTTAACATATGAATTTTGAAATGACAAATACATCTTCCGAAATTTGAATTTCTCTATATTTCAAAAATAATCTGTAATAGCAAGTTAAAAAACAACAACTCTCTTTTCCTTTTGAATTATTTAAACCAGAAGGTGCACCTTCAATGCAGGTTGTAAGGGCCCAATTCAACTCTTTCGAACATAAAATTCCATGAATTCTCTTTTTTAAAAAATGAAGGCTGACTTACAGCATTATGTAAAAAAATAAATAAAAAATTAAGCAACTAAATGAGCATTCGAAGTATCTTAGTGTGGAGGACTGTCATTGGAAAATGTAGATGAGAAACCATGAAGAATTTATATAAAGTAAAAGAATAAAAAATATTTACATAGAAGTATTTGGTCGAAAACAATTTTTGCAGAGGGCAACCTCAGACTTGCTTTGTAATATCTATTTGGTGCTTTATTTTACTTCCAAATCACTTTACTTGGTCTTTGCACCATCTCCCTTGTGTCTTATTTTGGTTACGTTTTGCTGGTCCCCTTTATCCTGCTTGTTTCTCGTTGCCTCACTGCTCTGGTTTCAACTGTGTTGTTTATTTGATGTTTAGTTTTGGTGTTTTTGTGTGATTGGTGAAAATGTGATGTAGTTTGTTCTATTAGTCAATGCAGTCAAATGGGTGGAGTGTGATATTGAGGGAATAATGGGATGCAGTGTTATTTTGCCATACCTTCAGGGGAGTGGGTGAGTGTAATTTATGCTTAAAATAATACATTCAGGAAATTTGTGTAAAAGTTTTGGGCTTAATACATAGCTATTATAGATACTTTTTTGTGTGGTCTTGGCAATATCCTAGTGGCAAACCTCTTTCAAAGATGAGGTCCTGCGTTAATTTGATTTTTCTGCATCGAAATCACTGTTCTTCATTGAATGGATCTTCAATTTTCATCTGTTTCTATACGCACAATGATTGTGGGTACTCTCCGCCAATCCAAATTAATATACAGACACAGGGAGTCTAATATTTCAGATTTAGCGATTCCAACATTCACCAATCTCTCTCTCACTTTCGTTTTGTACATGGCATCAGGCTGTCCGGATTGGTGACTTGGAGCTTTTTAGGAATGTTGCACAGAAGTATGCTGCCACTTTCAATACAGACAGAACTCATAATTTGATTGTTCGGCTCCGTCATAATGTCATCAGGACTGGTTTACGCAACATCAACATATCATATTCTCGCATCTCGCTTGCTGATGTAGCTCTAAAATTGAGGTTGAACTCTGCAAGTCCGGTTTCTGATGCTGAGAGCATTATAGCTAAGGCTATCCGTGATGGGGCAATTGATGCTACATTGGACCATGCTAATGGGTGGATGGTCTCCAAAGAAACTGGAGATATTTACATTACAAATGAGCCTCAATTGGCCTTTAATTCTCGGATTGCCTTTTGTCTTAACATGCACAATGAGGCTGTTCGGGCCCTGCGTTTTCCACCAAACACACACAAGGAAAAGGAAAGTGCCGAGAAGAGGAGAGAGAGGCAACAACAAGAGCAAGAACTGGCTAAGCATATCGCAGAGGAAGATGATGATGACTTCTGATAACGATCTTGTTCTTTTAATCTTACCAGTTGCTGTCAGGATCTTTGTTTCATTCATTTGCTCATATTTCTCTTCTGGAGAAATTCCATTACTCCTTCGTTTTTGAAAAGTGAAATTTTATTTTCTACATAGAAGATCTCTAGAAATCTTCTACTGAATTGAAATATTTACTGTTAGTTTCCAACCATGGTGACAGCAATGTCTTGTTTCCTTGTTCGGAGAATGACGTTTTAGGGTCTGGAAAAGCTAATCAATTATTTAGGACCATGTTAGTGATTCAAATCAGATGTTTGACTATTGAAAATTATTTTCTGATTGGCCAAAAAGAGAAAAGGTTTTTATTGTGGAGTAGTAATTGAGTTATAACAATAATGTTTTATTGCTTCTTGAACGTACATGTTTGTATTTTTCTCTCGTCAGATAAAATGTCATTTTCCTCTCGTTTGAGTTAGATTGCATTGAAGACTATCTCCAACGCTGTAATGCAAGATACAACTCCTTTTTTCGAATTTTGTTGAGATTTTATAGACCATTTCTTAAGTGAGGGGGAAAACGAATCATGCTTTTGGGAAAATTATAACATAGTAACATTTCGTGTCCGTAAGTCTCATAGTGAACTTCCTTGTTATTTTGAGTTTGCTTGACGGTGCAGTCATATATTATGAATAATTGAATATTCACTTATATTGAATCGTTGTTTTGCTTAACATGGCTCGTTTAAATCAGGCTAATAGGTTTTGAATATTCACTCAGTAATTTAGACGTCAAATATCCCATGTGTTCTCAGATTGAATCAACGGTGATTATTTTAAAGTTGCTTGCAAACAGACAACTGACAATCTTTATAACCAAAATGGAACATGTGTATGTAGCTCACTTAAAACGACATCGCCAAGCATTTCCATGTGCCCATGTGTGCTATGATCTACTCCATTTGTTCCATTTGATAAAAACTATTGTGTGTCTTTTTATACACAAATGGCTACAAACCAAGAGATCCATATGAGATAGAAAGAAAGAACTAGACATTGGGATTTGGGAGGTGCTAAAATAAAAAAATAAAAAAATAAAAAATAAAAGTAAAAGACCAAATGGGCCTTGTGGTTTTTGATACATTCACGGCTCTTATATGGGGATGGGCATGTGGGGTGGGAAATACAATCATAAGAGAAAGACTGAAGAGAACGTGGGAATAATTGAATGACGTTCAGAACTCTGAAGACTTGCTCAGATAAATTTAATTTAACAAATAATAAAAATAGTTTTCTGACTTCTCTCCTCTTGCAGGACCCTCACATGTGCCATCGTTGCCTTGGCGAGTCTCATCCCTTATTTAAAGACAAAGCTTTTGTGCTTGGAAATTACAATAAATGTAAATACGAATTCTAGTCTTAGTACCCTTCTTCAACCTCATCATCTTCGTCTACATTTTCAGCCCTTCATTTAGGGTCTCGAGCATTCAGAAAGCAAGAAGATAATGGCCAAAGTTATGTATGTTTTGGCTAGCCTCATCGCATTATGCTGTTTCACAATCAATACCTATGCCTTATTACCTTCTGGATGGACCAATGCTCATGCCACTTTTTATGGGGGTAGCGATGCCTCAGGCACTATGGGTAAGCCATTGTGACTCTACCTTTTAACATTATATTAGTACTTTGTTAGAAATTTAAGGTTGAATGATGATTAAGTTCCATCATTTATATTAGTGCTTGGAAATTTAATAGTAGTTTTTTTTTTTCCAAAGCTACTTTGCAAAGATTAAATTTTGACATAAATATTTACGTATGAATGCAGGAGGAGCTTGTGGGTATGGGGATCTGTATTCAACAGGGTATGGGACTAGAACTGCTGCTTTAAGTACTGCGTTATTTAATGATGGGGCTTCATGTGGAGAGTGCTACAAAATCATATGTGATTATAAAACAGACGCCAGATGGTGCATTAAAGGAAGATCCGTGACCATAACTGCCACAAACTTTTGCCCTCCCAATTTTGCTCTCGCTAACAACAATGGAGGATGGTGCAATCCACCTCTCAAGCATTTTGACATGGCTCAACCCGCATGGGAAAAGATTGGTATTTACCGCGGAGGGATCGTGCCTGTCTTATTCCAAAGGTTTGAATTTGTGCCCCGTATCTTGGTCTAATAATATTAATATCACTTACCTTGTCCGCAATGGCACATAAAAGTTACACCAAAGCTTAAATTATTAGCTGAAAACACTTCAATTAGATTTATATTATATTATTCCTTAACATATTCCCTTACGTTAAAGAGTTTTATAAAATTAAAGCGTGGATAATTTATCTGTCTATCACAAAAGAGAACATGGTTTTTTTTTTTTAAATAAAATAAAAAATAAAATTTAGGCCACCGCACCAAAATTCTTTTTTTATGGTGTGAAATATGAAAGTTAAAATTGGGGCAATAGGAAATCATCATAAAAGTTAATTAGTTTACAAAATTTATATTAATAATTTTATATATTATATTATTTTTAATACATCTGAATTCTTTGGACTTAAAGCATAAATAATATATGGGCAATGACTTTCTGTTATTATAAAAGAAAAGAATTGCCTCCTGCTGAAACAAAAAAAAAATGGGGCCACCGATTAAAAAAAAAAGTTGGCATGAATTTCAATATTTGTACAGGAAACAATTCTATTATTGTGTAAAAGGAGAAAAATATTGCACATAACATATACACTTTTTTTTGTGTGTGTGCTGGTTTCAACTTATTATTTTGTTATTTTTATTAGAAAACAAACTCATATTATATTGTTCCTTAACACATTAATTATTTATGTGACAAATTTCAATTTTACAGGGTTCCATGCAAAAAGCACGGAGGGGTGAGGTTCACTATCAATGGGAGAGACTACTTTGAACTTGTGTTAATAAGCAATGTCGCAGGTGCTGGATCAATACAATCTGTGTCCATTAAAGGCTCAAAAACTGGGTGGATGGCTATGTCAAGAAACTGGGGTACCAATTGGCAATCCAATGCGTTTTTGAATGGTCAATCATTGTCCTTTAGGGTCACAACCACTGATGGAGAAACCAAAGTTTTCCAAGATATCGTTCCAGCAAATTGGGCTTTTGGCCAGACTTTTTCTAGCCCGGTCCAATTCTAAGCCCATAAAAAAAGGTCTTCTTGGTTTTGGGTTTTTGATTTTAGATTTTCCCATAAACCAGAACGGCTGAGGCGTGCTTATTATTTTAATGGAGCAGCCCGCCACTCCTCTTCTGGTTTTCATAATTTGGTGGACCAAACCCATCAACTCCAACATCTTATTGGTAGCACGTGGCTTGCATTATATATTTTTTGTTGTTGCAAAAGTTGCATTATATTTTATCAATAACAATCATTATCATATCATATGAAAGCTCAAGCTTGTAGAAATAAGCATATTTGAAGTTTTAATTTATACCATAAATTGTTGTAATATGAATACTATTGTTGTAGCTGTATCGCGGGAGTTGAGAAAATATGAATTCCCTGAAATTTTCAATATAGTGGTGTATTGTGTAACTGTTATGTATTAATTCCTTCAAGTTTTTGAAACTAGCAAAATTTGATGGGGCTACAAAACATGGTAAACCTTGCTAGATGCAAATGAAGATGCTCTTGCAACTTGCAGGGAATCTACCGAGTTTTTTTGTGTGATCAAAGCACATGGCATGAGTTAATCGATGAATAGGGAGAAATTTCAAAAATAAAATAAAAATAAGAGTCACAACATTAGTTGGTATATCATTTCAGATCATGTACCGGCTGAATCGAATTAATCCAAATAATCCATAAACCGGTTCAAAAATCTATGAAAAAAAAAAAGTCACGAGATTAGTTGGCACACACCCTCCATCTCATGTCTCACTTAAACCGTTTCGAGAAAGTGACCCATGTTTCCCCGTTCATAGCAATAATGGAGCTAAGCAGGTGTCTGTCTGTATTTTCTTTAAATTTTCAAAAAACTATAAATTGTATAAATTACTTGCTAGTAATAAGGACATCATCTCTCTGCTGTAGTACTGGAAACTGCATTGACCAACAATTTTTTTTTTTTTTTTTTTAAGATTTCTCTATCGTTTGAGAGTCACTCAAAGTTTTTCCAATCACATTTTTAATTCGGTTGGATATTCAGATTTGAATTCAAAATCATTAATTAAACTAGAATAACCTTATATCACTTATTCACATACATAGTATTTATTAGTGCACTTTGATTTACGGAAGTAAAGACTGATGTGATTTGGAATGCAACAGATCATCCTGATTTTATGTTTAATAGAATATTACCTTTTGTAGCACAGATCCATGAGAATTTTCTTTTGTATCGATGTGGTGATCTCTCTTGCCTCTGCTGCCACTGAATCTTTTTTTTTTTCACGTACAAGCCTTCTTCGTATCTCAGCACACGAACAAGCCTCCTTGCTGAAAGTGTATGATTAAGTTTCCGAATATTCTGGGAAGGAAAAAGTGTGTAGACACTTTAAGTTTCAGATCTCTTATAGCAACAACACTGAAAGTTGATGATTAAAGTGAAATTATTTATATAGGCATTGGAAAATTTTAGTGTAACATCCCCGTCTCGAGTCAGTTCAATTAACATACATATGATACTAAAACATGCATCAGCGGAAGACTTAACTTATAATCTTGCATTAGCTTACGAAAATACAAGCTAACTTTTTCCTTTTCTTTATTTCGTTTCACATGATATATAGCCTTACGTTCCTTCTTTCGCATCAGTAATCATTTCTTCTCTAAAACTTTCATCTCTTATCTATGACCATGTGTAATGGCCCTTGACCATTTGAATGTGACAACAAGTGTCAATCCAAATAGAGTCTAAATTCGGATAGCGTAACGGCTGTAAACCGAACAAAAGAGGATTAAACCCCATTCTCATAATTCATACCTGATAAAATATCATCTTAAACATATAATATAATCATATATGGTCCAACAACGGACCTAATACCCATCCATGGGCGCATGCATAACTGGTTCTGTGCCACTATGTCTAATAACATACATATCTCAGCACATGCACATATCTGAGCACTACATCATCATATAACATGTCTGAATACACAAATGTACATGCATAAAATCTGAAAACATGTACAAAATATATACAGACCATATACAATATAATGGATCAAACCTCATGATCCCAAACTGAACAGAACACTACTAAACAATAAATACATGTCCTTCAAAATAATGGCAGTATAATGCTACACACGGATCATGTCTCTACACAGTGATAACGAATCATCCAAAATACACATATCCACTACAGCACCTCAAGCCACGGGTCGTATCCTTGCCCTGTAAGGGCTCTCCAGTTAACTGTATACCTGAAATCATATCCCCAAATAGGGTTAGAGACGAATCTCCAGTAAGCTCCAGGTTTATAGAGAACTCTCCATACCCTGGGCTCAGTTCCTGCATGAATGTCAGATACATAATATACAAGGCATCATATAAGCAAATATCATAACTGAACAAAGCATATACATTTATCTTATCAGAGATGTACACAGTCATTCCCAAGGGAGGACCCAAACCGAAACTTAGCGCACGTAACAAATATCATAACAGAAGTGTACACAGTCAATCCCAAGGGAGGACCCCAAGCGAAAATCAGTGCATATAAACTAATTTACGAAAATCATCACAATAATCACATCAGAAAAAAATATATCATATCAAAGATGTACGCAGTCATTTCCAAGGGAGGACCCCAAGTGGAACCACACATATCAGCGGTGTAAGAGGCATCATATAACAATTATCATAACTGAACAAAACATATATATACATATCTTATCAGAGACGTACGCAGTCATTCCCAAGGGAGGACCCCAAGTGGAAATCAGCACACGTGTTCCCAAGAGAGGACCCCAAGCGGAACCAAAAACATATCAGAGATACAACAGTCAGTCCCGAGGGAGGACCCCAAGCAGACATCAATGCACATAGGATCAATGGCCAAAGATCATCACATAACAGAGGTGTACACAGTCAGTCCCAAGGGAGGACCCCAAGCAAAAATCAATGCATATGTTCCCAAGGGTGGACCCCAAGCGGAACTCAACATATAACAGAGATATACACAGTCATTCCCAAGGGAGGACCCTAAGCAGACATCAGTGCATATAGAATCAATGGCCAAAGATCATTTCAGAAATCACATCAAAGCAAAATATATCATATTATCATATAACTCTATATGAATGCATCTATATCATATATCTCATACATATCATACAACCCGACCACAGTTCGTACATTATGGCGGAACACAAAGTAGGAGCGAACCCCATAAACATAGAGCTTATCTCTTGGAGCTTTAACAATAGTCTTACTTGTCACACAAGTCACTTATCTTCCTTGAAAAAAATCCAAATGTTCGAAATCCTTAGGCACACCTAGCGAAGTATTCAAAACCAAACTCAATAAAATGATATAATGTCATGTAATTATACAAGACACACACTTTATTACTTTCATCTTTACTCACAAAGCTTATGCCAATTATATGCCAACCCACAAGTCAAGATCAAAATTCTTAAACTCACATATTAGACCATTTTAGGGTGATTGCTAATTCAACAAGCAACCACATGGTTTCATGCTTACATAGGGTCTTAGAATGACATAACCATGCCTTTAAAATACTCATTACCATTTTTAGAACATCCTAACCTACCTAGACCTCATATGGCCAAAGCCACATACAAGGAAGGCAAGACGTTCCTCTCTTCGTTTTCACATAATTCATAGCTTAACATACTTTTGACTTGACTCTTGAGTCATTTAAACACTCACTTTATCAAACATAACTTCCAATATTTTTCTTTAGCCCAAATGAGCACAATCACAAACTTTCACATAAGAGCAACCTATAGCAAATGTATAAAGGTGATCAACAATTCATACAACACAGGGAACGTTAAGCTATTGGCTAAAATTTCTCATATTCTCATAAAACACAGCTTACCCCTCTTTGGTAAAATTTCAAGAATACTTATCTTGAGCAAATGTTGCTTCCAATGGGTGTTCCTCCACCATAATGTCACAAGGAACAACTCTATAACATGAAACAATACCAAACAACCATTATTTTTCCATCAAAAGTCACTATTCACGTTGTTACTGTTCATCCAAAACCTAGCATTCTCATTTCTTCATGAAAACTTGAAAAGAGTTGGATATACTTACCACTAAACACCCAAGAATGGAAAGGGGAACGTTCTTCAAGCTTCCATAAACTCCAAACCACTCAAAATCCCAAAAATTCAAGAATATTTTCGTAGCTTTGAGGGTAGCGATCTCTCTCTACAATGCTTCCCACATGAAAATAAGGGTTGGGTTGTGTTCCTCTCAAAATTCTAAGAAGATTTGGCTTTGGAACGACTCGATTCCGACAACTGTAGCTCAAGTTATGATTTTCTCAAATTTCTCTCTTTTCCACCAATGGCTTCCATGAAAATGACAAGGAAGATGACTGATGATGTCTTATATTTTTAGTGACTTATTGTACATGTTTTATTCACTTACGCTTAGTTAACTAAAGTCAACAACTTATTAAATGACTCTATATCCATTTCATCCATAAGTAACTTTGTGGTGTTCCCAACCAAGGAATAACGTTCTCCTATGGGAACATCATTCTCCCTTTGGGAACAACTTACTGAACATCGTTCGCACTATGGGAACGTCCTACTGAATGTCGTTCCCACCATGGGAACAGCTTACCGAATGTCATTTCCGCTCTGGGAACGACCAAAATTCATCAATTCAAAATCTAATTTCATTTTTCTGAGCTCATTTACATTCACTTTTATTCCCTAAAGAATTAGCAATTCACAATTGGGTTTTTGCACCATTTTTAATTAAACAACTGTGAATCACTATTGTGCACTGTTCGCATGCAAAATCGTAAAACTTCTAAATTTATGATTTTTGGTCTAAACATGACTTGTTTGGCATATATTGGACTTCCATATATTTATCACATAATTTATTCATTTCTGGACTCTATCGGTTGCTTAAACAGCGGTACAAAATACCCAACAAAAATCACTATTCACGAGATTTTTGTGAAAAATGCCAGACTATACAGAATCACATTCTAAACACATATTTAGCATCCAAATCATCAAATTAAATCTCTATAATAAAGATTTACCGGTGAGAATCATTATATTTAACAGTAAATTTCTTGGGCAATAGATTTTTAAACTCTTCTCGTACACCGAGCCAAATTGAGTTTTGGTAAAAACATAAACCAAACCGCGTTAACTTTTACAAGTAAAACAATCGATAACGGGGTTAGACATAATAAATAATTCATTTTTTAACCTTATCACATGGCTATAGTTTAAGTTCTTCAGTTTATAATTGGGTTCTTTAATATTTATATTGAACTGAGATTAAGCAAAGATATATACCTGTACCGATTGAAGCCAAACCACCCGACCATTCAATCTGGGGTCAGTATGCTAGTCCAACCGAATACCCCTTTACGTTACTTTTCTAATCGGGATTAAAGCAAGTATAATTGTAGGTTCAATCTATAAAAACAAACAAGTTTAGTTCGAAAATATAATTAATATAATTTATAATTATATGAAAATCGGTCAAGTAATATGCTATAGAAAGAACGCAGCTTTTATTTTCACCATAAATGCAAAGAAAATAAAAGAAGGCAGCTAAAGTAAAATATTAAATTTGGTGACAATATATATTTAAATGAAAGTCTAAAGCTTTTAAAATTAGACTCGAAGAGGGAAAGGTTAACCAAAATTTGAGACCACATATATGGGTTCGCATTTGAAATAATGTTGGCTTTTAAAAGCAACTATACCAAATGCAACTTTTCTTTATTTAATAGAAGATGCTTGGAAACTCTACTCCACTAATAGGCTCATAGATCACCAAATATGTTTAACAAGCATATACCCGTAACAACTCCAAGTCTCCAATGTTATCCCCTTCTCTATAAATACCATTCTCTATAGTGTTTCTCACAACTCACAAGTCATAAACAAAGTTTGAATTTGTTATTTGTGATTAGAAATATGGCAGCAATTGCTACAGTGATGCTTATAATGGTGTTCTTCACTTCTCATGCGAGTGCACTAAGTGTGAATTACTATGACTCTACATGCCCTCATGTAGAGTCCATTGTCGCTGGTGCTGTCCATAAAGCAGCCGTGAATGACAGAACTGTCCCTGCTGCTATGCTTAGGATGCATTTTCATGATTGCTTCATAAGGGTAATGCAACTTTTAATGCAACTTTTCTTTGTGCTTATTAACCTTAGTTAAAGACAACTCGTATACCAAATACCATTGGTACTAATGTTAATAAATTTGTGTCCCTTAATCAGAGATACCGTGTTCGAGTTTTTTGATTGAAAAAAATAGTCTTAGGAGAGCTGTCCCCGTTATAGAATCCGACAGTGCTTAAACTGAATTAATTTGAAAGATAAACTGGTTGAGGAGACTTAAAAAAAAAGACAACTCATATGGGGCTAGCAACCTAAATTACATTGTAAATATTGATCCTATCATGTTAAAATTTTGTGCCTATATCTCTTTGTTAATTGGCATTAAATTATGGGTTCGCTTTTTGTCATGTCACATGACAAGACTATTTTTCTGCACACACAAATCAAGTGTGGGTCCCACGCTTAAAAAAAAAAGTCAAATCAAAATCAGAATACGGCGCCGTATCCTCAAAATACATTGCCGGATCCTTGTTGCAGGAATGAACAGTGTCATTCCTGCAACATGATTCTTATATTTTCCTTAAATTATATAACTAATTATTTGCTAATTTTTGAAGGGTTGTGATGCCTCTGTTCTGCTGGAATCTAAGAGAAAGAACAAAGCAGAAAAGGATGGGCCTCCAAATATTTCTTTGCACGCATTCTATGTGATTGACAACGCTAAGAAAGCAGTGGAAGCCGTTTGCCCCGGGGTCGTATCTTGTGCTGATATTTTGGCTCTTGCTGCTAGGGATGCTGTTACTTTGGTCAGAGTCACAAACAATAACATAAAAATTATAGTATTATTATTTTTGGAGTTATTAAGATAATTTTGGTCAAACTCATTTGGGGCAAACGAATATTAGAATTTTCATTAATTGATTAATATTTTTTTATCTGTTTGTGAGTGGCTTCTTAGTCTGGAGGGCCCACTTGGGATGTACCCAAAGGAAGAAAGGATGGAAGAATATCAAAGGCCACAGAAACCAGACAATTGCCAGCTCCCACTTTCAATTTCTCCCAACTACAACAAAGCTTCTCTCTGAGAGGCCTTTCCTTGGAAGACCTAGTAGCCCTCTCAGGTACTATAAAAAATTAAAAATAAATTCAAATTTATCTACTAATTAGGAATATGTAATACTAACTAACTGCTTTGGCTGTGCCTTTATCGTCAGTCACCCATCATGATTCCACATTTGTTTAACCAATATTATTATTTAGTACCTATTTCTTCAATCATAAATCAAGTTTGTATAGTAAAATAGCAGCAAAGAAAATTCAATTTAACTAACCAAAAATCATTACCCAATGTTCTGGACCCATATAATAGGCTCATCACTTTTGGATAATGGATCTTAACCAATATGAGATAAACTTTTGTATAAATGAAGGGTTAAGCCTCCCAAATATTTGTCTAGAAATCCTAATTCTCTTTGTTGTTACCGTACACAGTTACACCCACTGGCTCTCATCCTACCGTTTATACACAGTAATCTACCACCATGCCAAGTTATCTCCTCTATAGATACCATAAGCTTACAGAACCTATAACAACCTTGATCCACTAGAGTTGAACACCCACAAAAGAAAAATGTAATCATAACTAAACTAAAAAAAGGGGTAGTCATGCAATCCATATTAGTTATAATATGATGCTATATTGTTATGTAATGTGCAGGAGGTCACACCCTTGGGTTCGCTCACTGTTCATCATTTCAGAACAGAATCCACAACTTCAGCCCCAAACAAGACATTGACCCGTCCATGAACCCATCATTTGCAAACAGCCTCCGAAGCATGTGTCCCTCTCACAACAAGGTAAAAAATGCAGGTGCCCCATTGGATTCTAGCCCCACCATGTTTGACAATGCTTATTACAAGCTACTCCTCCAAGGAAGGGGAATTTTCTCTTCTGATCAAGCCCTGCTCACTCATCCCAACACTAAAACATTGGTTTCCAAGTTTGCTAATTGCCAAAAGGAATTTGAAAATGCATTTGTCAAGTCCATGATCAAGATGAGCAGCATCACCAACGGTGGACAAGAAATCAGGCTCGATTGTAAACTCGTTAGATGATCCGTTTAGAAAGTCTATGTACTATAATCCTAAGTATCATAATTCCATCGTGAATTGAGAAAAGAAGGGTGATAAAATAAAAGGAAGAGGAAGAAAACAAGGATCTCCATTCCACCCCATATGTTCTCAAAGATGAATAAAGGGTTCACTTGTTAATTATAACTTGTAATCATTGTCTCTTCTAGCTTTTCTAGCAGCTGTGCGTTGAAGTGAACGGGGTGAAGTTGAATTTTTGTGCTTATTTGTATGTTGTAATTATTGGACATGGCCTGCAAATGTTTTCCGTTATTTATCAATGGTCCAATTAATCATCAATTTAAATAAATTCAGATCCTGTTCTTGGCCGAACATATCCGTACCATTAGAGAGGGAAAAAAGATTATTCTTTGTTTTTTTTTATTTGGATAAAAAAAATTTATGAGGGTTAAATATCGGTATCTCACCAAGGAGAAGGCAGATTTTCAATTTCTTTGAAAATTTCTGAAAGAGATCACATATCGTTTACCAACACAGTTCTCACATTGGCCAGTAGAATTCGAACTTACCCTCCTATGGAGTACGAGCCTGATGCCTATCTTATTGGTTTTTTTTTTTTTCATAGTGAAAAATGCCCCTATTATTTCGTGATTGAATCCAAGACATGGGATTTCCATGACTAGACGCCCGAAAAAGTATTTAAATTAATCTGTTCTTTTGAGCAACTTCACCTATTCTAACTAATAATATGATATGCTTCTTTCACTGAAAATAACATGGTAATGCAAGGAAAAGCGTTGGTTTTAGACAAGTTTCGATGCTAAAAGAAATAGCATCATGGTATGGCATAATATAGGAATAACAAGTGACTCGTGTGAAAATGTAAAAGAAAAAGGACAAAGTATGGATATATTATTGTGCATATGTTATCGAAACAAAATGATAGGCGTGACCTCTGTTTTTGTTTTTCGTTGGCATGTCATAATATTAATAAAGTATGTGAAAAACTGCCCACAAGAGCCGCGCGGTTTGTGAAGAAAATCGCATCTAAATGGGGGAAGCATCCGTAGAATCGTAAGAAGTTGGAGAGAGTGAGAAACGAGAACAAGAAGAAGAGAGCGGAGATAAATAGAAAGGTAGAGACATAGATACACTAATCTATTCTATCTGTAAAAGTTTTGGATTTAACTAATTGTTAGCTGTAAATTAGGGTGTTTGCGGTTTGGATTGGATCGATTTTAGTAGCAAAAATCATTCGATCCAATCACTTCGGTTTGAACATAAAATCATCCATTCGATTTAATTTTTTTTTCAAATCCGATCCAATCGAATCAACTTTATTCGGTTTGGAGTGAATTAGTTTTTGATTTTTTGAAAAGCTTAAAATTTGTATGATGATTATTGTGCAAATAACATGTCTTTTGTATGTATTGACTTTGTAAAATTTGTATAATATTTACTGTGCAATTTAGAAGTATTAGTAAACGATAATTTAATTTTTAATATGGTACAACAAAAAAGTTGAAAGTCGGTAAACTCGGTTTCAAGTATCTATTACTTGTTGGATAAGAAGGAAAATTAGACAATAACAAAGTAAGGAAAATTAATCTCAATTGCTAATACAGAGAGATCTTAAAACAGTTTTTTATTTCAAATTTTTGCACATAAGTTGTATAGTAGTATCAAATTCACGTGAAAATTATTCTAAAAATAAATAAAAACAAATCATTAACTCAATTCAAATGCTATATTTATATAGCAAAAAATTTATACTTTTGTAGTATCCTATCCAAAGGTTGAAATCACAATGAATGTGGTAACGAAAACTTGCCAGAATGTACCAATAATTTTTCTTGGGTTTACATGATAGGTTAATGGGTCTTGAGATTAGAATTTTTTGGACTATTATTATGTAACAGGCCTAAGTAGGTAAATGGGATCAATATATTGGATCGGTTTTCACCAACCAAACCGATAATCGATCCAATCCAATTAAAATGTGCGATTTTTATTCGGTTTTCAATTTTTTGACTTTTGGTTAATTCGATTTTTTAGTTCGGTCACCGCGGTTTGAATCGATTGATGAACACCCCTAGTTGTAAACTTCTTTTTCATTGACTTTGGATATCAATGAATAGAAAGTGAAGATCATACCAATTCCAAACTTTATTTTCAACTCTATTTATTTACAATATACTTTATTGTTGCTATAATAACTAATTCTAATTCACATCATTATTTAGTTATACAATGACTTTAAATAAAAGATGACGATCTTAATCTTTAGATTCTTGTATTATAATAGTGATTGTTAGCATTAGGCATTAGCACAGTTAAATTTTTCGTACAAATTTTTTACTTCCTAACAAAATGTCACCGTTACCGAGGAGACAAAAAAAAATGGGTGGGAAGAGGTGAAATGGAAAAGAAAGCTGTTATAAAAAAAGGGAAAGGTAGCAAAGAAGAAAAAAGAAGAAGTTGAATATAAAGAAAATAAGGCTGGATATGATGGGAAGGAAGAGTAAAAAAAATAAAAGAAAAGCAAGCCTCCACTTGTCAATAAAAAAAAAGGAAGTTTAATAGACCTACCGAAGGTTAATCAGACACAATGGACAATCAACAATTAGCCAAGAGTCCTAAAATACCATGAACCAAACTCAGCCCCATTATAAGTTTAAAAGACCCTTTCATAGAAGTGGCATAGTGTGCTAATGCCTAGTGCTAACAATCACTATTGTAGTACAGGAATCTAAAGATTAAGATCGTTCAGAAGGAACAATGGTTCACAAAGCAAGTGACATAACTTGCCAAAAACCAATCTGTATGGTGAGCAACTTATAGGTGTCCTATAAACTATTCTATGCCCAAAGGGAGTCCTCTGATTTCAGAGACAAGTCCTTCCTTGAAGTACTAACCACCTTCTCAAGGATTTTCTTTATCTCCCTATTAGTGACCTCCACTTGGCCACTTGCTTGAGGGTGGTAGGGTGTGGCCACCTTATGCTTAGCACTATATTTTTCTAAGAGAATTTTGAATTGTTTGGTGATGAAGTGGCTTCCTCCATCACTAATCACACACCTAGGTGTGCCAAACCTTGTGAAAATGTAACTTTTGAGAAATTTATAGACAATCTTGGTTTCATTAGTGGGGGAGGTTACTGCCTTCACCCACTTTGACACATAATCAATGGCTACTAGGATGTACTTATTGCCATTAGAAGGGGGGTAAAGGACCAATAAGGTTGCTTCCCCACACATCAAACACCTCAACCTCAAGGATTGGGTTTGTAATCACTCAATTTTGTCCTTACATACCAAAAAATAAATAAATATATATATAAATTAAAATTTATTTAGTAAATTTCTTTATTTCATCTAGTCTCCTAGTGTTTTTTATTATTATTATTATTATTATTATTATTATTAGTATGGTATCTATTTTTATTTTTATTTTTTAGTTGCAAACCCAAAATAAAAGATAAAAAATAGAAGTTACCAGTGTCCTTGGTTGTTACAACAATAACCCCCTTATGTGGGTTTCATCAGCCTCAACCCATAACTCAAACCGCCTATGACAATCAAGGTAACCCCACGTGAACAAGTTCAAGAAACAAGGTTCAGGATAAGGAAAGCAGGGAGCTATGTTCAGGATAAGAAAATCAGGGGAATCGTGTTCAGGAAAAAAAGGGAAAAATCAGAAAAAAGCAAGGAAGGTATTATTCTATAGATAGGAGGAGGCTCTAGGAAGAGGGGGCGGGGAGTTTTCGGAAAGAAAGAGAGGAGATAAAAGTGAAGCTTTAAGGAGAGCAACTTTGGGGAGAAGAACAAAAATGGGAGCTTGAGAGTTCTTTTCTTTTCTAAAAAAAAACAAGTGTGTATCAGTGAGATTCTTTTGTTTGAAAGGTACTCGATAAAGGCAAAAAAAGAAAAAAGGAAGGGAGGCAGGATTTGTTTTGGAGAAACTCTTATTCTGGTAATTTTGTTTTTTTTATATTATCTCCCACTGCTATTTAGCAATTGATAACTCATATTCAGATAGTATGATGGTTGATTTATAAATTTCACATATCTCAATACCTTATACTTGCGTTTTAAGAATGCTGGCATGAAGGATTTTATTTGTTTGTTGCTGTTGATGATGAATGCTTGTTCTGATATAGTTTGATTTGCGTACTAAGTGGAAGACACATACTGCAGAGACATTTATTTTATTTTTATGTTGACGTAATGTTGTGGCGCATAGTGTCTGACCCGGCGATGAATTCTTGTGAGTCGACTTCTCTTTGTTGTGCGTGAACCTCAAGTAGGAATGCTTGTGTTATTTTTTCATATTATTGCTAATGGCTTTTATCAAACGGAAAGCTGTCATGGATTCAAAGTTAATATACATAGTCAGATTTTAATACACAAGTGCTATTAGACCATTGCGGGCCCACATCGTTTTGATCGTTAAGTCTAAATATTCTTAAATAATCATTGTTATAATACATTTATATGATAGTTGTGGGCTGAACATTTTTTCTCCTTTGCCTGAACGTATTATGGTGCCAAATGTTTGTCATTTTTATGTTATATGTTTACTATTCCCAATGTATTTCATATATAACTATAAAATAGTCATTCTTTAGTTATTTGTTTCATCCCATCGTTTCCTTATGGATTATTTTTTTTCTTTTTCTATATATAATTCACTATATGTTAGCTACTAGCTACTGGGAGTTCGCTATTTCTCACATTGCTTTTCTTTTTTTCGATTCTTAAGCTAAATGTGTTTTATTGTGCCAAATTTTGTATGTCTAGTCAATCTCATTAACAATTACATCAGTATTATTATTATTATTATCAACTATGTAGTTGATTATGAAAACGAATCACAAGTTATATTTATAGTAAAAAAGGATTAGCTGAGCCGTGACAGCTTGTTAACTCCCAATTTTTTATTTTGACTTACTTTAGCCGTGACGGCTTGGTGATTCAAAATTCATTTAAGTTTATCGTAAAATAACATGAAATATATGTTAAAAG